AATAATGTCCATCAGGGGTTCATCGAAGAACAACTGAAAGCATTCCAGTTCAGTGGTATAGTTCCCAAGTGTACATGATGGCCGTATTCCACTTTGTGTTTCATCGAAGTCATGGGGACTGGGAACAAACTCGTCACCTTGCTGCCAATCCCAGATGCGGTCAGCTGGTGGGTACTGGATATTGAAACGTGGTTGTGGTTGTACAGGTTGTGGTTGTGCAGGTTGTGGTTGTGGATGTTGTGGTTGTAGATGTTGTGGTTGTGGATGTTGTGGTTGTGGATGTTGTGGTTGTGGATGTTGTGGGAGTGTGGGGTTGGGTGAGGCTGGCTGTGGTTGTGAAGAGTCAGCAGCGTCAGTAGTAGCATGGCCCGCTGCTGGTGCCACATGACTTGTGCCACCATCACTATTGCCACCACCATCTGCTGCCTCACTCGCATCATTCCTACCCATTGTAATAATATCATCATCTTCACTATCAGTTTGTGGTGTAGGGCCACGGGATGTGCTTCAAGATTTACTCCTTCCCCTTGGAACAGCATATGGCACACTACCAGAATGCAAGCGACGTCGTATATATTGCCGCTTCACTGGGGAATATTCACCCTCACTGTCGCAACTAGAACTGCTTTCAGTAGCTTTAAAATCACTATCACTTTCACTGCTCACATTTGAGTCTTGTACACGGACAAATAGTTTCCTCTTTCATCCTGGTACAGGTGAACGTAAACGAGCCGGCCCAGCACCAGAGGTGGAAGGTCGTGGGTCATCCGAGTTTTCATCACTAATTACGTTATCCTGGGCACTGTTTTTGGTCACACCCACTTGAAAACCACGGAATTCACTTTCATTGACACATCCATTGCTGTTAGAGCTATCACTTGGGAACAAAAGACCTCCAATCCGCCGAGGAGTGAGGTACTTATTACCGCTAGGCATGGTGAAAATGGACTACCAAGATGGTGTTCCCACAATGCACCGCTGAGTCCCAGATTTTTTTTCACAGGGTGCACACCCACCACTCAGACCCATTCTCTCTCGTGTAGGCCTACCAGCCCTCTCCCGCTTGATTTGAAGCCGCTAGAATTTGTGTATAGATACGTCAAACACTGTATCTCGTAAGACGTACAGCAGGGCCCCACTTTACGGCGTTCTGCTAATACGGTCATTTCAAATTATGACCAAAACTCGCTATACGGCTCCCCCCACCTGACTTTCTAATACGGTCACCGCGCCCCACCTTGTTTGTTTACATTCTTCGTGAGCTCAGTAAGCACTAAGTCTCTCCATTTTGTCTGGAAACTCCAAAATTTCAAATGTTTTTAAAAGTTATTTCATATTTTATATATACTCTGATAATTATACTTATGTATACCTGTACTTAAATAAACTTACATACTGTGCTGGCATGCAGGTACACATTAAAATCAGTAAGAGTGTCTTATGTCTCCAGATGTCATATTAGTAATGATAATAATCATCGAGTCTCATTTAAATGTCGTATATTACGTTAAATACACATTTTCATTAATCCATCTATGATATTTTTTCAAAATTATATAATAAACACGATACATAACATAAAAAGATGATAAATACACCCCACAATAGAATAAATAAACATAAATATGAGATGTGGTAGCAGACGACTTGCACAAGTGACGCCATATTAGAAATGCTAATAATAATAATAATAATAATCACCGAGTCTCATTAATGTTGTATATTACGTTAATATACACATTTTCATTAATCCATCCATGATATTTTTTTCAAAATTATATAATAAACACGATACATAACATAAAAAGATGATAAATACACCCCACAATAGAATAAATAAACAAATATGAGATGTGGTAGCCAGATAACTTGTACAAGTGATGCCAAGAATAACATTTTCTCTAATCTAAAATAAGAGAAAATGTGTTACTGGGGGTAACTGTAGAAAATTATTCCTTTCGTATGTATGTAAGTTTATTCAGGTATACACAAGTACAGTTACATAGATTATCATACATAACAACATATGTGTAGAGAACCTAGGATAACCCAAAAAAGTCAGAGTGACTTATTTCCATTGCCTTCACTCAGAGCATCATTTCTTCTCAAAATGATGTTACATGAGAATGGGAGTGTTCTTCTTTATTTATTCTACCGTATCAATGTAGAGACAACCTGTACACAATGTAACTTGTACACAAACCAGACGTGTACACTTTGTTTACAAAACTTACCTTCGCCTGGTTTGTTTACATAACTCTGCGCCTGTCCTCTCTCATGCACTCATTCTTTCTCTCTCTCATTTATTCGTTTTATCTCATTTACTTACTCCTGACCCTACATTAAGACTACAAATATTTTAAGGTAAGTAATGAGTGAACTGTATATACATTTTATCGCTCTGGGATGCTTAAATGTAATGGAATATTATGTGTAGGTGGGTTGGCCTGGTATGGTAGCCCGGCTGACTACCATACATACCACACTTGATTTTTTACAATAAATACTTCTCATCTCACCCTATATTTTAAGGTAAGTAATGAGTGAACTGTATATACATTTTATCGCTCTGGGATGCTTAAATATCATAGAATAGTATGTGTGGGTGGGGTGGCCTGGTATGGTAGCCTGGCTGACTACCATACATACCACACTTGATTTCTTACAATAAATACTACTTGTCTCACCCTAGATTAAGACTATAAATATTTTAAGGTAAGTAATGAGTGCACTATGTGTGTATTGTACTTTTTTATTGTTTTTTGATGCCTGGTTCTATTGCTAACTTAATATATGTTAGTGTAAACTTGTTACCTAGTGTTTGTATGCATTTGTAAGTGGAAAAAAAGGGTGTTCCACTTTACGGCGGTAGCCTGGAACCTAACCAGCCGTATAAGTGGGGCCTTCCTGTATATATATGACCGAAACGGTCAAGGGGTTAATGCCTCATTCAGTCCACAGGCTCATCCTCTCTCCATCATGCATGCACTACTATCAAGCTTATCTAGTATCTCAATTTTCTTCAAAACATTAAGACTTTCATGCTTATACTTTTTCTTTGCACTTCCAGGATCTCTTATTTCTTCTGGGTCCCAAGGTTACTATCCAGACACAGGATGGGATGGTGAAAACATCAAAAATTTATTTACTAACACAGGCTTAGTGTGATACTGGACATGTACAATTGGAGAACGGAGAGACGGGAGGTTGTGTACATTTAGTAGATCTCCCCATAAGAACTGTGGCTCGTTTGTAAGTTCACCGAAAGACAGAGGGAATAAACCTGCAGCATCCCATTTTTCCCCTGCATTTACTTCTTATTAAATGATATATGGCATTTTCAAAGAAAATGTCACAATTTTTCAAGTGTTAACACAAAAAAAAGTAATAGATTCTGTGTTAACTGAGGTTCTACCATATATACACATTCAGGCAGGTTATGTTCTGGACTATTGCTGTAAACTTCCAAAGGCATATAAAAGAATGTTAATGTGTTTACACTATATATTAAATGAGCAATAGAGCTAGACCTAAAAAAATGCATGTACATTATGCACATTACTTACCTTAAAATACAGTGGTCCCCCGACCTGCGATATTAATCCGTTCTTGAGAGCCCATCGTAAGGCGAAATGATCGTAGGTTGAATTAATTTTCCCCATAAGAAATAATGGAAATCAAATTAATCCATGCAAGACACCCAAAAGTATGAAAAAAAAAAATTTACCACGTGAAATATACGTTTTCTACTTTACTAAGTGAAGAATAAATAACACTTACCTTTATCGAAGATGCAGCAATGACTGATGAGACACTGTCCTGGGAGTGCCTTTTCCTCCTGAGTACTGTAGGTCCTGTTTGGCATTTTCTTCCAGAACAGGCCTTATCACACCGTGTATGCCACTACGATTCTTAAATCTTTCAAACCAACCTTTGCTGGCCTTAAATACACAAATATGAGCACTAGTTCCAGGCATTTTTTACTGTTCACCTGGGTGTTAGTCGACTGGTGTGGGTCGCATCCTGGGAGACAAGATTAAGGACCCCAATGGAAATAAGTTAGGCAGTCCTTGATGACACTCTGACTTTTTTGGGTTATCCTGGGTGGCTAACCCTCTGGGGTTAATTGTTTCTCGGTATTCTCGATAAGCCACACCAACAACGGTGCTACAGCAGCAGCTGACAGTGCTACAGCAGCAGCAGCAGCTGATGGTGCTACAGCAGCAGCTGATGGTGCTGCAGCAGCAGCTGATGGTGCTACAGCAGCAGCTGATGGTGCTACAGCAGCAGCTGACGGTGCTACAGCAGCAGCAGCAGCAGCTGACGGTGCTACAGCAGCAGCAGCAGCTGATGGTGCTACAGCAGGAGCAGCAGCTGACGGTGTTACAGCAGCAGCAGCTGATGATGCTACAGCAGCAGCTGCAGTTGACGGTGCTTCAGCGGCAGTAGCAGCTGACTGTGGTACTATCGTATTTCAATAATATTTCTCACCCTTTTTACCACAGGGTTGGCACTAGAAGCTTTCTTTGGGCTCATGGTGGCTTATTTAGCAGTTAGAAGCACTAAAAACACTGGAATAATACAAAATATTCCAAATGTATGTTTGGGAGTGACCACTCTGGCTTGTAAACATTGGCACACTAACTGAAGGCAGGCCAGCTGAGGCACGCTTGGGCGGACAGACATGTGGACGCATACCGGACGAATGCTGTAGGTTGAGTTTTTCAACGTACGTCGGGGTCAAATTTTTATGTTGAAAAGCACCGTAGGTCGGTTTTAACATAGGTTGAGGACATCGTACGTCGAGGGTCCACTGTATTTTTGTCCTTGGCTTATAGTAAGTGGTGATTATATTTATTGTAGGAAGTCCAAATAAATGAAGAATGGGTATAATTGAAAATGCTGTATTAGCAAAATGCTGTTAAGTGGAGCCCTCCTGTGTACATTTACACAGCATTGATACTATAATCAGAGAAATTTACCTATATTCTGTTTCCAGAGGGCAATGCACCTATGTGCAGCAGTGTGTTGCGAGAAGACGGAGAATTCTGTTGACCAAGTACACCGGTGCATCGAGAGCTGCTCCACCCCTCTCACTCAGGCTCAGAGCTTTGTGCAGAATGAGTTATCACAGTTCCAAGTAAGACTAGCACTTCTTTTTTTTTTTTTTTTTTTTTTTTTTTTTTTTATCTTGAGCCTTCTTTCTGCCCTCTATTTCTGTTCTCTATCTTTCTCTTTGAATCTCCATCTTGTCTCTACCCTGCTCAGTCTGTATCTTGTTTTTTCTTTCCTATTTTCTTTTTCTTCTTTGTCTCTAATACAGTGGACCCCCGGATTACATAATTAATCCGTTCCAGAGAGCGACTTATCCCGAATCTGACTTGTTCCGAATTAATTTTCCCCATGAGAAATAATGGAAATCCAATTAATCCGTTTCAGACACCCAAAATTATTAAAAAAACAAGTTTTCTACATAAAATATACATTTACCTACACAGAAAACAATGATACATGTAGAATAAAACAATAATAACATCACACTTACCTTTATTGAAGACATGGTGATGTATGGAAGACAAGAAAAGGGGAGAGGATGGAGGAGTTTACAACTGTTTGGAAGGAGAATCCCCTTCCATAGACTTCAGGTACCAAGTCTTTATCCTGGGTTACTTCCCTTCTTTGTTTTTTAATGCCACTAGGACCAGCTTGAGTCACTGGACCCCTGTCGTTCAAAAAAGCGTTCCAGTGAGGTCTGTTTCTGGCGTATGTTAGGAATTGTGTTGGGAGACAGGACAAGATAGTCCTTCAATATGTGACTAATATCAGCTCTACGGCTTATTTATCTAACACAATTCATCTAATATGACATAATAAATAATATTAATAACAGAAACATGATATATACTCTAGAATGCAATAAGATCACCCTAGACTAAATGCTCAATACTCAGTACTCGCATACTCAATACGTATTCCCATATCATAATTTCAACAATTACTTTCGAACCTTTTATCCATTGTCAACAGGAATATAATTGAATCATTGTTTCACAAAAAGTATTTTTGAATATATGAATATATCTTTTTATTATTTTTTTATTATCACACTGGCCGATTCCCACCAAGGCAGGGTGGCCCGAAAAAGAAAAACTTTCACCATCATTCACTCCACACTGTCTTGACAGAAGGGTGCTTTACACTACAGTTTATAAACTGCAACATTAACACCCCTCCTTCTTTTATCTTATATAAATTAGATTCACTTATAATTAATAATCTACTGTACAACTATGATATAATTCTTAGTGTTAAGTAGTCAGTAATCCAATGATGTTAAGTTGGCCCATAATGCATAGGCATAATAGAGGCTCTCTTTGCATTGCAACCCATTATTGTAAATACATAATTTCAAAGTACTATTTGCAACGACATAAATAAATAAATAAATAAAATTTCAGAATATGCAAAACAACCACTATGAAAAAATAGTGAAATTCCAAGTGCTTTTGTGACTTATCACATTATCAAGGAACTATAAAAGTAATACATCAAAGGAACGCATATAAAGGGTCTAGACCACTCACCATCACATCCCCACAAAGCAACACCTGACGTGCGATGACACTCGACTCCAATGTATTATTAAATTCTTCCTAAATTTTATTAATTATAAATGGAAGTAATTTATATAAACCAAAGGAAATATTCATATTATTTTTAAAACTGCTTTTTATGAAATAAGATTCAGTTACATTCATGTCGACCATGGACTTGCTTGATACAACTTTCTCAACTTTTTGAAAATCAATTGGATGGTTAAAATCTCTCGCATGAATAAATAGAGCATTGGAATCTTGTCCAGTTCTAGTGCTATATTTGTTGTTTTAATCTTAGTTTGAAACTTTTACCAGTTTGACCGTAATAAACTTTATTGCAAATTTTACAAGGAATCTTATAGACACATCCGTTAGCATTTTGGAGGGAATTCTTTATTGAAAGTTTTTCTACTGTATCAAGATTTTTAAATACAACTTTGATAATAAAAGTCTTAAGAAGAGAAGGTATATCAATCAAGTTTTCATGGTAAGGGAGAACCAACATATTTTTAGTTGAATAAGGTTGGTTGTCCCTTTTTGGATTGTAAAAAGTATTTCTAGCAATTTTAAAAGATTTATCAATTATGTTTCTTGGGTATTTCAGATACCCAAGGTTTTCTGTAAATTTAAAATTTATAGAAAACCTACAAATAACTGTTCCTATGTGCACTATTATTCTTCACATCAAGATAGTTAAACTGTCTGTTTTCTCATCAGTGTTTTTGAGAGTTTTGCATATTTGTAGTCCAGAGTTCATAGATGAAGAAATATCCAAAATTTATGAAATAGCTAATGATCTGAAATACCCAAGAAACATAATTTATCAATTATGTTTCTTGGGTATTTCAGATCATTAACTATTTCATAAATTTTGGATATTTCTTCAATAAAGGTAATTTATCAATTATGTTTCAAACTTTCATGCTTAGTCACCTTAAATTGTTGATAAAGAGGGGATTGAGATTGGCATAGCAAGAAAAATCATTCTGACTTCAATCTCATAAGGATAATTTTTCAGGAACGACTACAACGATGTGTAATGACTTGTCAAGATAGGGTGAGAGACCAGGTCACTGCAGATACCTCGGAGGCTCAGGTTTGTCAGAAAGTATATTATTATTTTGATGTTCTCTAACCCTTTAACTGTCCAAACGTAGATCTACGTTCTTACTACTAGCGCTCCAACCGTAGGTCTACATTTTATTTTTCCTGCCTCCAAATTTGGCACGATTGGCCTGAGATTCCTGGTCAGCATAGAATGGGTCTTAACACTCAGTGTGTGCAGTATTAAAAAATCTGGGACCACTTAGTACCTTGTAGGAGCACCAGTTCAATTGAGCACCAGCTAGAGCAAACAGTGTGGCAAACACCAGGGATTCACTTATGTCATGTTGTATTAACACTCCCCTTTTAAGAGAAAAGTGATGTTGACCCCGAGTTTAGTGGCTTTGAGATGGATGTGGTCACAAGTGGTCACGGAAATATCAGAAACCTTGATAATAACCCATGTGCAACATCCTTTCAATTTTGGTACCACTGGTTGTTGTCCTGCCAGAATGTCATATAACCTATCCCCTAAGTAAAAAACAATTCTAGAATGAGCAATACGTGTTCAGCAGGCTGGCTGGGCGGCACCTGGGTGGCTGGCTGATTAGTTGTCTGTCTCAGTCTGTCTATCTGTATCTATCTCTATCTCTTTCTCTGTCTTTGTCTCTGTTTCACAGGTACACATAAATACAATTATACCGTGTGAATTACCCAGGATAACCCAAAAAATCCAGACAGTGCTATACTGTGCTTGTAGATTTAACCCTTGGAGGGTCGGTCATACTAGTATGCCATTGCAGCCAGGGTCATTCAAGTACAGTGGACCCCTGCATACCGTACGCATCACATAACGTTCAATCCGCATACCGCTCGCTTTTATCGCAAAAATTTTGCCTCGCATACCGCTCAAAAACCCGCTCACCGCTGTTCGTCCGAGACGCGTCCAATGTGCTCCCTTAGCCAGCCTCACATGTGCCGCCGGTGGCATTGTTTACCAGCCAGCCTCCGCGGTAACATCCAAGCATACAATCGGAACATTTCGTATTATTACAGTGTTTTTAGTGATTTTATCTGCAAAATAAGTGACCATGGGCCCCAAGAAAGCTTCTAGTGCCAACCCTACAGCAATAAGGGTGAGAATTACTATAGAGATGAAGAAAAAGATCATTCATAAGTATAAAAGTGGAGTGCGTGTCTCCGAGCTGGCCAGGTTGTATAATAAACCCCAATCAACCATCGCTACTATTGGTGGTACAGCTGCTGCTGCTGCTGTACCACCGTCAGCTGCTGCTATAGTACCGTCTGCTGCTGCTGTAGCACTGTCAGCTGCTGCTGCTGCACTGTCAGCTGCTGCTGTACCACTGTCAGCTGCTGCTGTAGTACCGTCTGCTGCTGCTGTAGCATCGTCTGCTGCTGCTGTAGCACTGTCAGCTGCTGCTGCTGCACTGTCAGCTGCCTCTGCTGCTGTACCACCATCAGCTGCTGCTGTAGTACCGTCTGCTGCTGCTGTAGCATTGTCTGCTGCTGCTGTAGCACTGTCAGCTGCTGCTGCTGCACTGTCAGCTGCTGCTGCTGCTGTACCACCGTCAGCTGCTGCTGTAGTACCGTCTGCTGCTGCTGTAGCATCGTCTGCTGCTGCTGTAGCACTGTCAGCTGCTGCTGCTGCTGTAGCACTGTCAGCTGCTGCTGCTGCTGCTGCTGTAGCACCGTTGTTGGTGTGGCTTATTGAGAATACCAAGAAACAATTAACCCCAGAGGATTTGCCACCCAGGATAACCCAAAAAAGTCAGTGTCATCGAAGACTGTCTAACTTATTTCCATTGGGGTCCTTAATCTTGTCTCCCAGGATGCAACCCACACCAGTCGACTAACACCCAGGTGAACAGGGAAAAATGCCTGGAACTAGTGCTCATATTGGTGAATTTAAAGCCAGCAAAGGTTGGTTTGAGAGATTTAAGAATCGTAGTGGCATACACAGTGTGATAAGGCCTGTTCTGGAAGAAAATGCCAAACAGGACCTACAGTACTCAGGAGGAAAAGGCACTCCCAGGACACAGTGTCTCATCAGTCATTGCTGCATCTTCAATAAAGGTAAGTGTCATTTATTCTTCATTTAGTAGAGTAGTACATGCACAATATATATTGTGCATGTACTACTCTACTATTGTGCATGTATCCTTCTCTTTGTGTGTAGGAAAATGTATATTTCATGTGGTAAAAATTTTTTTTTCATACTTTTGGGTGTCTTGCACGGATTAATTTGATTTCCATTATTTCTTATGGGGAAAATTCATTTGCATACCGATCATTTTGCATAACAATGAGCCCTCTTGCACGGATTAAAGTCGCTATGCGGGGGTCCACTGTATTAGTACGCGTACATTCTAGCGCCTTCAAATCGAGCGGGAGAAAGCTGGTAGGCCTACGTGTGAGAGAATGGGTCTGCGTGGTCAGTGTGTGTGGATGGAAAAAATTCGGGCACCCAGTGGAGCATTGTGGGAATGCCATTTTATTTCACATTGTCCACCATGCCTTGCGGTAAGAAACTCCTCACTCCTTGACAATTTGGGACTCTCTTGTTCCCAAGTGACAGTTCAAATATAGATGGAAGTGTCAGTGAAGATGATTCCCAGGGTTTTGGGGAGTTTGTGACCGAGAAGAAGAATAGTGGTAATGGTGATGAAAATCCAGATGACCCCCAACCTTCCACATCTGGTGCTGGGCCATCTTGTTCACATTTAGTTACACCAGAACGAAAGAGGAAACTCGTATTTTCCAGTGCTGAGGACACAGATGTGAGCAGTGGTGATGATAGTGATAGTGAATATGAGCTCCAAGCTTTTGAAAACAGTTCCAGTAGCGAAAGTGAAGCAGAATAATCTCCAGTGAAGCGTCAATATATACGACGTTACATGCGCTCTGGTAGTGTGTCATATGCTGTTCCAAGGGTAACAAGTACATCTCGGAGTGCATCTCATGGCTGTACAACAGGAACAGATAGTGAAAATGAAGATGATATTGTTACAATGGGGATAAAAAATGTGCAGGCATCAGAAGATGGTGGTGGTGCCAGCCATGAGGCACCAGCAGCAGCCCATGCTGTTACTCACGCCACTGAGTCGGCTCAGCTACAACAAAGATGACCTTCATCCACCCACCCACCACACCAACCTCCACAACTACAACCTCCACAACCACCTGTCAGTATCCAGTACCCACCAGCAGACTGCACCTGGGATTGGCAGGAAGCTGTCAATTTTGTTCCCAATCCCCATCAATTTGATGAAACTCAGAGGACTACGGCCATCTTGTACACTTGGGAACAATGCCACAGAACTGGAATGTTTCGAGTTATTCTTTGACAAACCTCTGGTGGAAATTGTCAGGGAAAGCAACAGATACTCCGAGTACACCATTGCGAACACAATTCTTTCACCAAGATCACGGCTACACCACTGGAAGGAGACAACTGTAGCTGAGACGTATCTTTTGTTTGCCACAATAATGCTTATGCCACATGTGTCTAAGCACAGTGTCAAATCATACTGGTCAACAGACCGCCTCATTGCAGCCCCAGCTTTCAATGATATATATAAGCACAGTGTCAAATCATACTGGTCAACAGACCGCCTCATTGCAGCCCCAGCTTTCAATGATATAATACCAGTGAATCGATTTATGCTCCTGTTAAGTATGCTATACTTCTCTGACAAAACCAGGCCTGACAGAAAAGACAGGTTATATAAGATTAGAAATATGTTTATGTATCTGAAACAGAAATTCATTATGTATTTTTATCCCTTCAGGAAGCTTGTTATTGATGAGTCTTTGATTTTGTTCAAAGGCAGACTTGTCATTCAAGCAGTATATACCAAGCAAGAGGAAATGCTTTGGTATAAAGTTATCTGTAGTGTGTGGTTGCTACAGTGGTCTTGTATTGGATATTATTGTGTACACTGGAAGTAATACATTGCAAGATACCAGGAAGTTATTGGGTATCTCTGGTGACGTGGTTAGAACAATGATGGAACCATATCTTGGTAATGGGCATTTATTATATACTATAACTGGTACACAAGCCCTTTACTCGGTGATTTTTTGTGAGTGAATATGACAGATATACTCACCTAGTTGTACTCACCTAGTTGAGGTTGCGGGGGTCGAGTCCGAGCTCCTGGCCCCGCCTCTTCACTGATCGCTACTAGGTCACTCTCCCTGAGCCGTGAGCTTTATCATACCTCTGCTTAAAGCTATGTATGGATCCTGCCTCCACTACATCGCTTCCCAAACTATTCCACTTACTGACTACTCTGTGGCTGAAGAAATACTTCCTAACATCCCTGTGATTCATCTGTGTCTTCAGCTTCCAACTGTGTCCCCTTGTTACTGTGTCCAATCTCTGGAACATCCTGTCTTTGTCCACCTTGTCAATTCCTCTCAGTATTTTGTATGTCGTTATCATGTCCCCCTATCTCTCCTGTCCTCCAGTGTCGTCAGGTTGATTTCCCTTAACCTCTCCTCGTAGGACATACCTCTTAGCTCTGGGACTAGTCTTGTTGCAAACCTTTGCACTTTCTCTAGTTTCTTCACGTGCTTGGCTAGGTGTGGGTTCCAAACTGGTGCCGCATACTCCAATATGGGCCTAACATACATGGTGTACAGGGTCCTGAATGATTCCTTATTAAGATGTCGGAATGCTGTTCTGAGGTTTGCTAGGCGCCCATATGCTGCAGCAGTTATTTGGTTGATGTGCGCTTCAGGAGATGTGCCTGGTGTTATACTCACCCCAAGATCTTTTTCCTTGAGTGAGGTTTGTAGTCTCTGACCCCCTAGACTGTACTCCGTCTGCAGCCTTCTTTGCCCTTCCCCAATCTTCATGACTTTGCACTTGGTGGGATTGAGCTCCAGGAGCCAATTGCTGGACCAGGTCTGCAGCCTGTCCAGGTCCCTTTGTAGTTCTGCCTGGTCTTCGATCGAGTGAATTCTTCTCATCAACTTCACGTCATCTGCAAACAGGGACACCTCAGAGTCTATTCCTTCCGTCATGTC